TCCCTAATTTAGTAGTAAAAAACTAGAGGGAAGATAGCTAGTCATCACCACCCACCGCCAACTCTTAAGCTACTCTTTTACCCACGAATAGTGGGATTCACCGTTACATTATAACGCCCTCACGGCTGAAAGGGCGAGCATGTTTGGTATGACGGGGATTCGAACTCGCGACCCTCATATTGCGAGTCGAGCGCCTTAACCACCTGGGTATGCCGGGCCTACGGGCTTTGTTTGTTTATTTATTATTAAGCACAAAGCTACACAACGAGGTATCTGTGCTGTGCCCAAGGTGGGTATCGAAATCCGATTTTTAGCGTTATAAACCCTCAAACTGGGTCAACTGCGCTCTACCCACCGGGAGGAATTGAACTCCGAATTTCAGCGCTGTAAATATGTAAACTTATCCCTGTCTCACCGGGGGACCAGTGACTAACATTTCCAGGCTAGAAAAATAAAACAATAACATAGAAATAAATGCGCATAGGTCATATTTTTTATGTTTCCGTAGATTAAATTTGCAAAATGGAAACCACGCATCCAAACAGAACACAGATGCGTCAACACTATTTATCTCTGGTTCAAAAAAGTTATGTATGTATTTTCTTTTGTGGACAAGAAAAAAAAATGATATAATTTTTCTCTTTAATGCGAAATCACATACTTTATTCGACAAGTTTATAGTAATTTTTTAAAAATGCAAATGAAAGTAAGCATGCGCATATGGTTGTAATTAAACAGTCGCAGTAAGAGGTCTGAATGACTCCCAGATGTTGGCTCCTGCTTAGATAATTTAGCAACGCGAGACGTTGCACTTAAAATAATCTGCGTTCTGTTTTATTCTTATTCAAAACTAATAACTTTTTTTTTCTGTTTATGTGAACTTACAATTTTCAAAACGAACTTCGAATAAAATGAGTTAATTTTACATATTCTGTAAGCTTGGAATCTTAGTTAACCTTTTAATATATTTCGCTTCAATGAAAAACTTCACTATAGAGATATATATACCACCGAAACGAGACAGAACATTAATTATTAGGTAGGCCTAACATTCATCTTATTTTATGGTATCATGTTCCCTTTGCTCATTCATGCTGAAAATGTGCGAAATCAAAATTGATTTCAATACAAAAATGGTCACCATTAACATATTCAGTAAAATCTTAGTAAATAACAAACGTTAGAAAGATTCATTTGATGGTGTTTCAGTTGAAATAACTGTTAATTTCACCCTTTCATGATTAGTCTAGAACATATCGATCTGTAATAAGGTATATACACACACACATACTCTTCCTTAATTTTCGCTCAAACGCTGTAAACATGTAGTGATCCTTTTGCTTAGGCAAATGTTATATACGACAACAACTAACGCATAGAAACTTATACCGATTTGACACTGTGTCTGTATACAACCTTTGGTGTGAAGCAAACGCAACTCAAGGGGTTTCATAAATACTTGTAAAAGTTGGGATTATATCCTTGATAACGTCATTTGGAATAGCCGTTGACTTAGTAATCCATGAATTATAGGATACCGCACCAGGACCCTTTTGTCTGCCTTGAAAATGTGCTATAACCTGTTTACCTGTTAACTTGTGTGTGTGTGTCCATATTTTTCCATTGCTGCCGGTGTTTCGTTTATTCTTCTTTTAATAGTTCCGAAAGACTCGACTACCTTACATGTTTAACTCGACGCCCTTATTTTGGCAAGGGAAGGCGCCGTTAGTATCATTCTCGAATATATCATTTCTTGATTAAGCCATAACAAGGGAGTTTAATTTGAGGTCGTTGCCCGTTGCTTTACTCAACGGTACTTTTTAGGCGACACCATCAGAGGTTGTAGCTTAATGTCAAGTTGGACGTGTAGTTAATGGAAAATATTCGATGAAAGAAGTCTTAGAAAGGAAGAATGGAAGTAAAAATACCACGTAGAGGGAAGAAGGTGATGCTGCTAAACGAGCTGAAAGATGGATGAGTTGAAGAGGAAGGTGGAAAATGGGGAAAGACGAATAAGTGATTTACAGTAATATCTTGATTGACGTTTCATGATGCTGGTCCCAGACTTGCTATGGTAGAATACCAGTAAATGAATGCGTTTTGTGAAAACTTTTGGCTACAGGTCAGGCGGCAGTGTGACCGAATACCACAACAGAACCATTTATGATGGAAAAAGAGGTGAGTTAAATTAAACAAAAATGTCCATGTTTGATGGTGTCTACGAATGTTTAAAGAGAAGTATATGTGACAGTGTACAGTAATAACACAAAAATGTGTGAATAATTCATACTGTACTAGTACTATACCTTTCGTGTGAATTTAATCTTACTATAAAAATGATCCAGGTAATCCAGAATTGGCTGGTTCAATTACCATAAAATTTGGTATGGTAACTGGAAGCTGTCCGACGGTATACATGGGCAATTTAGTTTTAGGATTTTTCACCGAGAAGTGGGGGGAAAATACCCAAAGATAGGGCACATTATCACTTTTTTTAATAGACTTTTGAGTTTGAATTTAAAGACAGAAGTACTTAATCAGTTAAATGAGTGAATTATTAACTTCCACAAAGCAGGGTGTGAAATTAGCATCTAATGAGGTTATTGGGGATTTGTTGACAAAATCGAGAAGAAAGGGGAACGTTACCTATCATTGTCCTTTATACAATTTCTGCTTCCTTAACGAGCACCCTCAGACGTATATCTAATTAGATGTAATCGGTTGAACATAAATAAAGAAAATAAATGAAAAACATCATTTTTCTTTTTGGACAGAAGCAAATCATTTTATTGAAATGCGAATATTTGTTGATCATTTGTTTGTTTGTAGTCAAGCAAAGAGCTACACAATGGGTTATCTATGCTGTGCCCACCAGGGGTATCGAAACCCGGATTTTAGCATATAAGTCCACAGACTTACCGCTGAGTCACTTGGGAAGGACATTTATGGATCATTATTCAGTATAGTGAAATAAGCCTAAAAATGTTTTGAAAAAGAATTATCCTTGAGTGAAGTTTGAGTTGCCTAATCAGAGAGACTGGAATAACGAGTGTTATAAGAAAAACACCTACTTACCTCGTTTCATACCTGAAATAATTGGCAATATAGTAATTTGTTCTCTTAGGTTTAGTAAAGTTTAAATAAGTGAGCTTGAGAGATGTTAATTCCTTTTAACAAATCACGAAGTGTACTACTCAACAAGTCTGTCTCACAGGTATTTAACGGCAGCCGTATAGAGGAGTTCAGTTAATTATTACCGTCCACAAAGCAGGATATGCAATTAGCATCTAATGAGGTCATTATGGATTTGATAACAAAAGAAATACGGAAGGAAAACAAGATCTAAAATAGTCCGTTATACAACATCATGTGATCAACTACTTCTGAGATCGACTAAAATCAACTATCAACTCCCTCCACTTCCCTATCTCTCACCCTTTCTTTTAACCCACGAACTCTATCCTCCCATCATTGATCCGTGGTTACCCTAATCCCATTTCTCATGTACTCTCAGTTCCCTACCACACTTCCTTCATGTAAACTTCAGGGCAGATGAAGAGGGAACATCCTTGAGGGAATTCGATGACGAGGAACCCACTTTTTCTTCATTACCCATTTAAGCCGTCTCCAGCCATTATTATCCTTGAGGGAAATTCTTCCCCTCGAAATTCCCGATCATCCAGATCCAGTTGAAAGCTATGTACATAAAATCATTGTGAAGGATATATACTTTAAAAATATGAGAAAACCGTCTTTTTTTATACATTTCCCTACCACCCTTCCTTCATGTAAACTTCAGGGCAGATGAAGAGGGAACATCCTTGAGGGAAATTCTTCCCCTCGAAATTCCCGATCATCCAGATCCAGTTGAAAGCTA